ATTGATACTGTATCTTTGTTTTTCTTCTTTTTTATCTTGATTATACCTTTTGGATTTTTTCCAATAGATTTTCCCTTTACTCAAAAATCTTACTGGTGAATTTCTTCATTGATTATTTTTTAACCCAGCAATATCAACTTTTCTTCCACTCTACTTTATCTGGGTGTTTAGGAGTTTCAGCACACCTTTTAAAAAATATCTGTGTCATTAAATGCAATGGCTATAGTAATTCACTGTGTTTTCTAACAGTTTTTACTCCTGATAACTGTAAACATTCAAGAAATCATTTAGGGACTTCCCTGGTGGTCCAGCAGTTAAGACTCCACACTCCCAATTCAGGGGTCCCGGGTTCAATCCCTGATCAGGGAACTAGATCCAGTATGCCACAACTAAAGACCTGGCCCAGCCAAATAAATAAATAATTTTTTTAAAAAAGAGAGAAATAATTTAGCTGTAACCAGTATATCTTGTTAGATTTCTGTTGCCAACAAACGTGTTTACCAGTTGAGAGTGCTAATATTTTTCTCATAAGATCCACTTGCAGGATTATTTGACTTTGCCTTCCATTTAGGTTTGTTTTTTTTTTAATTTATTTGTTTATTTATTTATCTATTTATTTATTTATTTTTGGCTGCGTTGGGTCTTCACTGCTGAGCGTGGGCTTTCTCTAGTTGTGTGAGCGGGGGCTACTCTTCGCTGCAATGGCTTCTCGTTGCAGAGCACGGGCTCTAGGCACACAGGCTTCAGTAGGTGTGGCTCGTGGGCTTCAGTAGTTGTGGCATGTGGGCTCAGTAGTTGTGGCTCACGGGCTTAGTTGCTCCATGGCATGTGGGACCCTCCAGGGCCAGGGCTCGAACCCACGTCTCCTGCATTGGCAGGTGGATTTTCAACCACTGCACCACCAGGGAAGCCCCATTTAGGTTTTTTTTAAGCATAAAGTGCATTTTTTGAAACCACAGGTTTGTTGAAGTCATTTTGTCTTATGATTTTTTTATGGAAGTAAACATGAACATTATGAGATAAAAACGAACTTTCATTTATTAATGGGCCCCATGACATGATTCTGTATATAGAAAATGCTATACAATTCACACACAAAAAACTAATCTGCTAGAGCTAATAAATATATTCAGCAAAATTGCAGAGTAAAAGACACAAAAATTAGTGTATTTCTATACACCGGCAATGAACACATGAAAAGGAAATTAATATTTCATTTACGAGAGCATTCAAAAGAATATACTACCTAGGAATAAATTTAACCAGGGGAGGTGAAAGACTTGCATATTGCTATGAAACATTGCTGAAAGAAATGAAAGAAGATTTAAATAAATGGAAAGATACCCTATGTTCATGGGCTGGAAGATTTAATATTGTTCATATGGAGTACAGCAAGATCTGTAGATCCATTGCAATCCGTATCAAAATTACAATGGCTTTTTTTTTTTTTTTTTGGAAGAAGTAGAAGAGCTGATCATCAAATTCATACGGAATTGTAGGGGGCCCCAGATAGCCAAAACAATGTTGAAAAAGAAAATAGAAGTTGGGGGACTCAAATTTCCTGATTTTAAAACTTACTTCAAAGCTACAGTAATTGGGGCTTCCCTGGTGGCGCAGTGGTTGAGAGTCCGCCTGCCGATGCAGGGGACGCGGGTTCGTGCCCCAGTCCGGGAGGATCCCACGTGCCGCGGAGCGGCTGGGCCCGTGGGCCATGGCCGCTGAGCCTGCGCGTCCGGGGCCTGTGCTCCGCAGCGGGAGAGGCCACAACAGTGAGAGACCCGCGTACGAAAAAAAAAAAAAAAAAAAAAAAGCTACAGTAATTGAAACAGTGGAGTACTAGCATAAAGATAGACTTATAGACCAATGGAATAGAATTAAGAGTCAAGAAATAAACCCAGACATCTATGGCTAATTGATTTTCAACAAGGGGCTAAGACTAGTTAATGGGGAAAGTATAGTCTCTTCAACTAGTGGTTCTATACAGCTGGATAACCACATGCAAATGAATGAATTTGTACCCTTACAACATGGATGAGCCTTGAAAACATTATGCCAAGTGAAAGAAGACACAGAAGACCACATTTCTAGGAAATGTCTGAAATAAACAAAGTCATTGGGTCAGAAAATAGATTGCTGGTTGTCAGGGCCTAGGAAAGGAGGAATGAGGATATGAGTATGGGGTTTATTTTTTGAGGTGATAATGCTTTAAAATTAGATAGTGATGAAAGTTGACAACTTTGTGAATATACTCAGAAGCACTGAATTGTAAACTTTTAAAAAGGTGAATTTTTTGGCATGTGAATTGTATCTCAATAAAGCTATTATTTTTTAAAAGAAGAGCAAGCTTATTAGCTCAGGGGTGCACAACTATCCGAGAATATTCTCTTATTCAAGGGCCATACTCAACCCTAAATTAACATGTTTTTTCCCTAAGAACCCATCTTACCCTGTGATCTGGAGGTTCAGTGTAAGTGTAGACTATTTGTTGACAGTTGGTACTTGTAATGCTTCATTATTCCTAATCTAACCAGGTAACCCCACATCATGACCAGCAGTTTCTAGTTACAATTTTATCTCTTTTTTTCCTTTTTAATATTTATTTATTTATTTATTTGGCTGCACCAAGTCTTTAGTTGCGGCACACAGCATCTTCGTTGCGGCATGCGGGATGTTTAGTTGCGGCATGTGGGCTCTTTTAGTTGTGGCATGTGGGATCTAGTTCCCCGTCCAGGGATTGAACTCGGGCACCCTGCATTGGAAGCACAGAGTCTTAACCACTGGACTACCAGGGAAGTCGCATAATTTTACCTTTTATATAAATAAAACCCATTCATCTGAGATGTTTGGTGTGGTATCAGTCATAATCTTGTTATCTAGATCCCTTTGGGCTACTGTGGCTTTTTTTCTGTCTCTATTCATTTTCTTTTTTAATTGATGAAAAATATCATGTTCTTCTGAATATCCTTTACTTTGTGATCTTAGTAAGTCATGTATTGTTTTAAATTAATAAATCCTGTATCAGAGGTCAGGGGAATAAACAGTTAATGGGTTCACTCAGCTGAAATTCAATCTTAAATTGTTTCTATATGGAGCTTTTAATTAAACCTCTTCCCAAAGGTACCACTGTTCGGATAGCATGTTGAAGTCCAGCTCTTATTTGCTTTTTATATTTTTCACATTTGGAGTGAAGAGTATTTTTTTCTTATGCTAGAATAAATAAGGAATACTATTTATTGGTGTTTCTTTTTCCTCTCTACAAACAGTGATTTTTTTAAAGTTAAATTTAGGAACAGGTATATGTGTCTATTTACTGATAATCAACTGATTTCTGAACTAGAAGATGTACATTTTCATATGGGATTACAACCATGAGAGTGGACAGAAGATTTATATGATGTGATGGAAATTTGGAGAGTCAGACTTAGGCAATAGGGCTTCTACTGCCCACATTACCCTTTCTTAGTCTAATGAGATGGTGTCCTAGATAGAGCCATTGTCTCCAGAGCTGAGGCCTATTAGACCCACTAGGCAACATCCACATGTGCTTGGGGAGTGAATAACAGGGCTGGAGAGCTGCCATGACCTGAAAATGCATTCTGTGACCTGAGCCAGGTGCTTTTATTAGAAAGCCTTAGAATCTAGGATTCCAAAATTTTTGCTATCTTCCATGGATTTTTCTGAGAGGTATCTGGGGCTTGGAATTTCCTTGTCCTTACATTAAATATTTTCTAAGAAATTCTGAACATATATCCCTTTCTTATATTGTCATTCTCTATTCTGACTCTCTGTGTGCTGCTTTTTGGAAAGTTAACTGTGTGAACTATGATTTGTGTACTTTGCTGTATGTATGTATACTTCAACCAGAAGTTGGGTTTTGTTTGTTTGTTTTTAAGTACATATAAGAAACCATACACAGATTACCAGGTAGGGCTAGAATTGCAATCAGGAAGAGACTTAGTGTTTTAATTTTTATAAGAAACATATTTGAAAAATAAAAGAGCAGGTTTTATAGAAAAGAAAGTTATACTGGGAGAGTTTTGATGGAAAGACAAGATAATCTCTCAATGGTAGGATGTGGGGGTTTTAAATCAAACCTGAGTTTAAATGCTGGCTCTGTTCCTTTCCTTGCTGGCTTCCACTTTTTCTTACTAAGTCTGCACAGCAGCCCACTTTGGGGACTCTCTTCATCTTGCATCTAGGAAGCATCCCAGTGCAGACTTCTCCTCACTTTTGTGGTAGTGTGATAACAGAAAGAGCAAGTACTGGAGGGTAAAAGGAGAAATGACAAATTATAGCCAGCCTGGCAAATTCAGGATACATATTCCTTCTTCTTCCAAGCATGTCATATATTTTTTAAAAATATTAAAACGCTCTTTCTCTTTTTTAAAAAATATTTATTTATTTATGGCTGCGTTGGGTCTTTGTTGCTGCGTGTGGGCTTTCTCTAGTTGCGGTAGGCGGGGGCTACTCTTCGTTGCGGTGCGCGGGCTTCTCATTGTGGTGGCTTCCCTTGTTGTGGAGCACCAGCTCTAGGCATGTGGGCTTCAGTAGTTGTGGCACACGAGCTCAGGAACTTGTGGCTCTCGGACTCTAGAGCACAGGCTCAGTAGTTGTGGCACACGGGCTTAGTTGCTCCGCGGCATGTGGGATCTTCCCGGACCAGGGCTCGAACCTCTGTCCCCTGCCAATCCCCTGCATTGGCAGGCGGATTCTTAACCACTGCATCACCAGGGAACTCCCAGCATGTCCTATTTTGATGAATTATACCCTTTATTCTGCATCCCTGCTCTTCACAACCTGTTCTTCATGGTCAGCCTGATGTCCTTGCTCAAAAAGCAGCCCTTTCCATTGCTAGACTCTAGTCTGCTCAGAGTAAATGCATTGGACATGGTCCCACCACAGGATAATCTTGCCATGATTGTTTTTAGAAAAATAAAGCACCAAATGTGTCTTCCTCCTCCTGGCTCTGACTAACCTCTGCTCTGTCTTGTATATTTTAGGCTTTAAAGGAGATAGATGAAGTCGGGGACCTATTGCACCTGAAATATTCCCGTCATCGGTCGGTACCCCTATTGGACAGGCCCTTTGACGAGACTACATATGAAGAAACAGAAGACTGAGCCTTTTGGTGCTCCCCTAAAGGAACTCTCCCTCACCCAGGAGAGTGTGTGGCCTTTCCAGTCCAGTTGCAGGAACCACACTTCTTGTGCAAGAGATTTCCTCAACTACTGACGGTGGCCACCTCCACTCTAAATGATATTTTGTAAATAGTGAAAAACTGCTTCACATCCTTCCTTTGCTACATCACCTTTAAAAAAAGAGGTGACTCACTTTGCTTTTTTGTCCATTAAAAAATGTTTTATTTTATAACTATTCTACTTGTGAAATCACACTGACCCTACCCTGTCTCTGGCTAACCACACAGGCCATTTTCCTCTCCCAGCCGCCTCACAGATGTGGGCCCATCCAAAGCTCCTGCTGGCCCTGGCACTACAGCCTCGAGACTCACCTGGCCCTCCTTCCTGGGGAGCAAGTGCCTTCCACTTACTTCCAGTCCAGGTCTCAGAGGTTGCCAGCCTTGGAATCCTTGTTTAACCAGTCACGTAATCAACCAAAGCGTTTTAATGTGTCTTAAGTTTAGCCATTTAAGAAAAGTAGTAAACACTAACATTGCTGAAACTCCCTGTCATTGTATATCCCTCCCTGGCCAGGAGCCTCCAAGGCTTGGTCTTATTCCATTGTGTTCTGGTCACCAGATGATATCTTCCTTCACCATCAAATGTTTCTTCGTAATGGTCACCATCTGAGGGCATGTCCAGTTTCTGGGTTCTTCCCAAGCTGGAATGTAACACTCCCACCCCCTGTTTAAAACACTTAAATGTTTTAAAAGCACCCACATCCCCCTCTGGTCAGACCTCGGTGCCGAAGTGGACTCACACCGCACTCTTCTGTGTACCAAGCTGCTCCGCAGAGTGACATGCCCTCCTGCGCGGGTGAGGGCAGGGGTGGTGGGGAGAGGGGTGATTGCTCCTTGTAGAATGTCTGTGGTTTCCTCCTGACTGCTTTCTACTTCTCAAAACTATGACAGCCTCTGCCTGGGTTTGGGTCCATATTAGGGTTTCAACTGATAAAGGAGAATGTTGGTAAATCTCCGCTCAGAAATCATTTGTCATGTTCCTAATTTAAGGATTAAAGTTTATTAACTTACCCTTTTTAGAAGATGACCCATTTAAATATCACTCTGGGGCTTCCCTGGTGGCGCAGTGGTTGAGAGTCCGCCTGCCGATGCAGGGGACGCGGGTTCGTGCCCTGGTCCGGGAGGATCCCACATGCCGCGGAGCGGCTGGGCCCGTGAGCCATGGCCACTGAGCCTGTGCATCTGGAGCCTGTGCTCCGCAACGGGAGAGGCCACAACAGTGAGAGGCCCGCATACCGCAAAAAAAAAAAAAAAAAATCACTCTGAGTGATATTTCTCTTTTATTCTTAATGTCCTAATGCAGTTCTAACCTGGCATCTGGGGCTTTTAGGGGCTCCATCTCCTTCCATTACCCCTTATTTTTTCCCTGAGAAATTCTGAACACTTATTTATTGCTAAACTGGGATCCTCTATTTTGACTCTGTTTTCATACCAAGTAAGGGGATTTCTTTCAGCGAGCTTTATACTGCTTGACCAAAGAGCAAATCTGAAAATCACCATGTTAAAGTTCTTACTTTCTTCTGTTGACCAAAGCTTAAGTGAAGAGAACTTTTGACTTTTTTTATACCCAAGATCAGCTTGTCTTTTAGTATTATAGGGGAAGGACTGGGAACAGAATGGAAAAACATTGTGTGAAAGTAGTTTTGTACATCTCTATTTTTGAAATCACTCCTTTTATTGGTAAAAATTTTCAGTCCAAATTCTCCTGGGCATCTTGTCATCAGCTGTGGTATTTTTGTGCAGATACATATAGTGGAGGATGTAAGCAATGCTATTGTTTGTGAAGTTTTGTTTTCATGTCTTAAGTTATCTTTGGTCACTCGCAGCATCTGAGAGCCTTAAGCCCTTGAAATATTCCAAGGTTTTATTTTAATTTTTTAAAGAATAGAAAAAAGTGAAAGGAACCAAGTAGAGATGCAGGGACTGCATTTAGCATGTACAAGTTGAAGTAAAAAAGATTGTGGTAACTAAGTAATTAGTCCTGTAAAATAAAATGCATTACTAACCTTTCCTGCACATCTAGGTCCTCACCATAGAACCCCATTAGAACCAGAGAGCTTTTGCACTGAAGTTACTATTTAGTGATGTAGGGTTTGCAGAAGTCACAAACTTAAAGCAATGAACTTAATGGCCAGTCTTTTATTTTGGCTTGCATGAAGTCACTGCAACTTAAAATGTCACTTAATATGGGCTTTAAATATATATATATATATCACTTAGCCATGCAGTTATTTCAGGATAAATGCAGTTAAGTTACAGATTTATTTTGAAGAGAGAAAACTCCTGTGATCTCTCTAGGACCTCTGCTTTCTAGAGGACAAAACATTACACACACTGGTTGTCTCTTCTTGAAACTGTAATATAAATCTAGGGTCCAGTCATATCACAAATATCATTACTTAACCAAGCACTTGGGGAAACACAAGTGTATATAAATACTGTCATTGGGAATGAGTAGAAATCTGGGACAAATAAGTATTGTTTAGTACATGGTTTAACACAGCCTACTTCAAGAATCTGATGGGATTCAAACAGGCATCAGCTAACCATTACTACCAAGGCTGATCATCAGAGTTAGTCGATAGAGGTGTGATTAATCCTTATTACTTTTTCTCATCCCTCTTTTTATTTAGCTTTGTCTTCATCCGTTTCAGGTTTATACCACCTTTTTCTGCAGATCACATCAGAAACCAGGAAGTTTATAACTAGGGGACATCAAAATCACACCCAAAGAATGGATCAAGTGGCAGTGGCAGATTCTCCTCCCACCTTTATTTTAAAAGCCTTACCGTAGAATATGGCGTACGTTCTAGAGCATTGAAAGAGAATGTTCAGGGGCAGGGTCTTTGAAGCACTAAACTTTTTGCTTTGCTTTGGAACATTTTTTCCCTTTCAAAAAACATTCCAGTCTCCAGAGCCCAGAGTACTGTTTGCTTGTTTGAAGAACTTCTCGTCACTGTCTTAAACTCTCGTGATAAGGTGAGGATTTCATATGGTCAGACAGCCCTCTTCCTCATGTAGTCATGGAAGGTGAACAGAAATAACCTGACACAACTACTAAGGGCTGCGTGTTTGCCTGATGCCCTTTCAGAGGCCAAGGCCCTATTTCTTCCCCCATGTGCCTCTTTCCAAATTGATGAGGATCTCCGGCCCCTTGTCATACTGGATTGGGCAGCAGCACAGAACTTCTAGTCATGTCATAGACAGTGAAGAAAGAGAATTTGGGTTCTTGTTTTCTATGAATTTGTGGCAAAACCACCTAGAAAAGGTTAAATACAATTGACTGTCTCCTGGTTCTCTCTCTCTCTCTTTTTTTTTTGGCTGTGCCACGTGGCATGCAGGATCCTAGTTCCCCGACCACAGATCAAACCCGCGCCTCCTGCAGTGGAAGCGCGGCGTCTTAACCACTGAACCGCCAGGGAGGTCCCTCCTGGTTCTCTTATATAAAGAATTGCTGTGCCCTAATTCCCAGGGTGTCTTTCCTGGCGTTCTAGGTAAGCCAGAATAGGTTTTAATCTGTACTTGCTATAACCCATGTGGTTAGAAAAAATGGGAAAGTTGTGGTTTTCCTCTGTCCACTTTCATGAAGGTCAAGAACTGTTGAGTACTTCACACAGGTAAAATCATCTTAGCCCAAAGGAGTTATGAAGAGGGACTTACGAAAATCAAAGGATTCTTCTTGGCTGTTGAGCAGCTGTTTGCTTAATCCGTTAAGCCAGTTAATTAAAACATCTTCCACGTAAAGAAAAGCTTGTCCATTCTCTCTTCAGCTTTATCCACATGAAATGCAGTGTTCAGGCTCCTAGCCATTTGCCATGTGCCCAGATAGCTGGGTTTCTAGGCTGGCTTCCTCCCTTATCATACAGAGGAAATGCCAGGACTGGCCAGTGATCCCTTTGCTTTTAATATGTAGAAAATGCTGTTGCCCCTTTTGTCATTTCTAATGACTTCTGTTTTCTAAGCACCTTTTGCTATAGATTGAGCCTTTTCTAGGGAGGAAACCGAAGGGGCTAGCTTGAGCCCTTATTGGAAATGTTTATTCTAATGTCTCTCCTGAATCTGAGGTATCACATTCCCAGTCATCCTTGTGACTGACTTGGGAGAGCTGTGGGCAAGGTCTTGTTTACTGTGTAGTACACGTGATAAATGGCCTTATAAACTGTGATTTTTTTGTGGTATGATGAGTTTATTAAACTGACCATAAAGAATTCAGTGGCTCTTAAACTGCCTTTACTGTGTTTTTCATGAAGCACACCCAAAGCTCTGTTCTTTTGGAGCAGTTACGGGGAGGTTGAATGAAAGGTAAAAATTAGAGCAGTGCCCTGATGTGCCAAGTGTCCTGCCTTGTTGCTGTCTGCATGGATAGTGGATCCTTCCATACACAAGGAGCCTTAAGCCCACTCAGTGTCTGCTTTTTCCAACACAGTTCCCGAGTTTCTTGTGCAAAGCTTTGTCGTTTGGCCCAGGCCTTCCAAGGAAGTGTGGGACATATCACTGACTAGGGGGGAGTGGTGACTTGTCTTCACCCTTGATGTTAGGTCTTGTTACCTCAGTGGTGGTAATGGTTGGAACGATAGAAAGCATCCTTGATGGTTCTTCACAGGATACTAGTGAGATCACCATGTCAGCCAGCATGCCAACAGTCTTGATGATCCCTCTCTGGATAAAGGTAGCTAACATTAAGAAGGGGGAAAGAGATAAAATAAGAATAGAGAAATAGCTTATGGAGAGCCGAGATCTTATTTTGTTGGCCCATATTTTTTCATTCCTGTAAACTGGAATTTGCGAGAGGTGCTGTGATCACCCTTCTCCAGTCCTGTAATGCTCATATAATCTGAGAAAGAGAAGGGGAAATATAAATAAAACCTTTTAAAATTTAGTGTTGTGTTAAAATGTCACTCTCTCCCTTACCCACACCCCTCCCTGGTCTCCTTTTTTTGCCAGATGACTTTTCGTTGCTGTTGTTGTTGGATGACTGTCAAGCTATAAATGATGGGTTGGGGGAGGTGTATCCATTTTGAGAGTGCCTGTTAAGAGCTGAAGGGGAACTACTTGAGATGACTTAAGAATCATCCCATGAAATATATTCTTTTGCTCTAATAAAATACTCTGAAAGCTGTATCTGCCTCTATTCATTAAACCAATAAATACTGAGTGCTGTTTCCATGCCAGGCAC